CTGGCCACTCACTTGTGCTTATTAATCAATCCTACTAACTATTACTTTATTTTTATTTAGCAGAATAATGATTAGAGTCCTTGGAAGAGTATGACCTATGGGCTGTCAAACCCCTTAGTAACGTAGTAATTTTCTTTGTTGTTTTCTCACCTGATGATGTCACACTTACAGCCTTTTAGCTCTTACCTAAGAGAGGGTTGGATAGGCTATGAAATTATAGCCAGGACAATCCACATTCCATGACTTTCAGATACTCCGTGTTTTTGATGAGGAATAGTGAATAACAAACATCACATTAAGTTAGTGTATGTGTATGCTAAAAGTTCCTTGTAGTCACTCTTTCTGTCCAAGAGGCACTGAATGATTTATTTTCTTTCTTCAGGAATTTTCTAATTTGACCACAGTACCACTGATGTTTAATGCTCATGTGTGTGCAGGTTTTAACAGTTTACAGTTCACTGGTGATGACTGGACACAGCCTGATTGTTTGATAACCCTAACTTTCTTTCTTATTGTCTAAGAGAACCCTGGCAATGATGGTAAACCAGGTTTCTATTAACGCATTCTTCACATTGGTTATTCATATTGATAAACTTTGAATTAGCATTGAACTAAATGGGTTCAAACAGCTATACCTGGCTAAAGAAAAAAGTTAAAAATCAAGCCAAGTTCTATCATGAAAGACTCAAATTGCTATTGCATCACAAAGAACAAACAGGCTTTCGCTCATACAACACAAGTCCATCACATATATCACTATATATATGAATAATACACACAGAACCGTCAGTATATGGTCAACTGCAGGGGGCCCCCCCCCCCCCCCCCTTTTTTTTTTTAAAAGCCCCCACCATGGGATTGCTGTCCCTCCCCGCCACTGAATGCAAAGCTCCTCCACATATTACTACGGAGAGCAATATGAATTACATGGGTATAGGGAATGGTGCCCTAAGTAAGCAGACTACAAACCTGTGATATAATTACATGTTAGTCCCTTATGGTATGGATGAACAAATTACAAGGCAACTGGAGATTTCTTGTAGAGGCAAAAGTTATAGTCTTTGGTGCAAGAAAAAATAATCTGGCATCCATGAATAGTAAATATGACAACTAAAGGGAAAAGATGATGGAAGTGATGCTCACTGTCCTCTTGTTTTCAGATCCATCTTGCTGTGCATATCAAGGTGAAAACAATATTTGCCAGTGGGGTATTGGTGAGAAGAGCCCCTATCAATGCTCCCTCAGGCCCAGTTACTACAATGTAGATTACTGAATGAAGTTTGCGAAATGGAGTTAATGACTCAACCC